AGGAGAGAGCAGCGTAGAGCCACAGAGGAGCGTGTTCTTCCAGATGGGAACAGGTCGTACTGACTGGACCGTTGAAATTGCTGCCTGCCTATGAAACTGGTTTTGGCACCTGGCTTTGCATTAATCGAAGGGTGTTTTGTTTTTTTAATTTCATGGAGTCACTGAGCAATATCATATTTGAATGCTCCAGTGGTAGTCAGTGAACTAGAACCTTCTGGGTCATGACATTACTTTGCCAAGTCAATTTTGCTACAAGAAACCAAGAAGTGAGTATGACAGTGGAACTCGGGCTTCCAACTCAAAATGAAAATACCTGTGTCTAACCCAGAGCCTACTCCCCCAGAACTTTAAGACTTACATGTAGCAGTTACATTTTAAAAGGCATTTACCTGAAGTTGACAAATGGGAATGGATTTGGTCAACTGCTCACAGAGTATTTTTGGTAGAAGTGAAAATTCCAAAAAGTGAATTGTGGTTTGAAATTAAGTTAGAGTTTAGCGTTTTTAATAAGAATTATGGGTCTTTTGGCCACTGCTTTTGTGAGAAGCCATTTCATCTCCTGCTTTTATTATGTATCCTATTATTTAAAGCTAATATAGCAACCTCTTTCACCCTCATCCAATATTTTTTGTTTGCATTTATTCTTTTTAAATTTTTAGTTATTCAGTAACTGTTGAGCTCCTGTATGTCAAATGCAGTGTGTTCTCATTCATAGGTGCATGTACGGCTTTGAAGTTCTATATTCAGCAGCATTTTCTAGTCTGCATCTCATGGTCCTACATAAGTAGCTCGTGTCTCCTTGAATTCAGTAGGATCTGTTTTATACCTGGGGGATCCAGAGACACAGAAACAGCATCTTGAAGGCGTGCCAGGAGTGGAGCTGGCTTTAGAATTTAGTTCTCCTCTCCGTCTCCATGCTCTTAGTTGTTTCCACTATTAAGAGAATGTCAGCAGTCCTGGTTCTCAAACAGTTATTTGATTTTTTAAGTTATTTTAAAATTTAATGTTATTAGTTAATTAAAGAATTGTCGCCTGTGCAGGGGAGACAGAAGTCAGTAGTTTACAGAATTGTTTCTTTTTCAAAACTCATTTTGCTTTCAGGAGTTCACAGCTCATGTTTGTGCTCTGTGTGTTAGAAAGATAGCTGTGACTCAAAGGCACCGTGTTGTTTTTCCAGGGAAGGACCTATCATCTCGGAGCAGAACAGATCTGGACTGCGTTTTTGGGAAAAGACAGAGTAAGAAGACTCCCGAGGTATTAAGCTACCATATAGCTGATATGTTCTATTTCCACAGTTTGATTTTCAACTGTGTATAGAACTGTTTCTTATGATTGTAGTTTTCAGACAAAGTTACCAAAAAAAAAAAAAAGCCTTTTAGAGGCTTCTAACAGGCTAAATGTGAGCCTCCTTAACAGTTGGTAGACAATATGTTTTATAAGGAATCTCTAAAAGGGATGTGTGTTATTTGGGTTTTATTGTTGTTGTATGAGGACTAGACTAAACTCGGGGACGAATCAAGGGGAAAGTGTATCTCTCCCGTCTGCAGGAGAGAGAGGGAGGTCGCATGCAGCGATTATATGTGCTTTGCTCAGACGGCATCTCTCTATTTGGAATATGGCCTGGGGAGGAAGAACATCGCATGTGAACTGCAGTTCTGGTCTGTTCCATTTTAAAACATTTTGAAACGGTGTTGGATCAGCATTGAGTCTGGAAGGGATTTAAAAGCAGTATTTTTTCCACTGCATAATACTGTTTGTTTCAGAACTAGAAGATAAGAATAGGGTGACTCAACTATGCCTTAAGCAGGATGAATCTATAACTCATAATCCTAACTATTAAATCGGGCTGTGCAGTATAGCACAACATTTTTGGGGGACCATTTTCAGCTGTAAGAAATAGCCCTGGATGTAGTTGGGATGTCAATATTAGAATTCTTAAAATATGGATTTTTAGAGATAGTGGGATCAAAATATTTAAAATTGATGTTGTCTACAAAAATCTGGAATATATGGTTGCTACAGCTATTACTCAGCTGATCTAGTATGGCATACTTATATTCCTATATTGGTTCCTAGCCAAGGCCCTTGGTGACTGTAAAAAAAAAGTCTTGTTTCATTTATTTCTCATATTTCTCCAGACTGACAAATTTCCCCTGGATGAGAGTTATTTGTTTCTTAATATTATTTTCAAAGACTTTGGGATGACCAGTTATTCGAAATTTTGGGACTAAATTTTTAGCCTTTTAGCACTTTTCTGACCCTATACCTTTAGCAGTGAGGACAGAGGAAGCAGGCCCTAGAAAGGAAACCTAGGCCGAACAGCTTGCCGAGGGGTGGTTTCTGTAGGGCAGCTGAGTCATGCCAAAGGCAGGTGGGCCATTAGGGAGGAGGTGTTCTGATATCAGGTCATGCTGGATGCTTCATTCTCTTGAGGCTGCTGGAAAGAGCCGAGGTCATCAGACAACCTGCTTCTGGTCACGCCTCTTGGTTAGTGTGTGACCTGGATAAGGCCCTCTGCCTGTTCACTAAAGACTTCGCATCTGCCTTACCTCAGTCTTCCTCTTGAATCCCTCCTTTGACCATGTCAGTAATTCAGGATGACCAAGGACACTCACCTCTGCTCCGCCCTAACAGCCCCCTCCATGGCCACATCCTGCACCTTTGCTTCAGCCCTGATGCTAACCTTTCTGTTCCGACCCTCAGACTAGCATTCCTGGTGCACAGGCTCTTCCACATCCTGTGTTCTCGGATCCCTTGATCCTCCCTTTTCTCCCTGCTGCCAACCCCTACTACCCCAACCCTCCTTTTCTCCAGCTCACTTTTTGCAATTTTACAGTTGAACAGGTCAGGGAAGGAGATATTACCTGTGGGCTTTTGGTAGAATGTGAAAAGAATTTATTTGATAAGCACAGGAAAGGTTTTCGTTACAGAGATTAGAGGCTTCTAATCCTCGGCAGACATCTCCTGGAGGACTTACTGGTGCCACGAGGTTCTCAGCAGTTTGGTGTCACTTGACTTTTTCGTGGTGTGGTCATTTGTGATCATGTTAACGTGAGCCTGTGTTTGAGAAGCTTCAGAAATAATTGGCCACTAATAACCCAGGGAAAATCTATTTGGGTGCAGTTAGTGTAGAAAAGACACTGTGTTTTGTGCAAGATTTACATCCAATACATCTCAGTCTTCATTCCAGTTTGATGTTTTCTTCTGAGAAATCCTTCTGCGATCCTAAGTGTCTGGCAGGGTGGGTTTATGTCCCAGCTCAGCTCTTGATCTGTAGCCGTGGTTCGCAGCAACACTTGCACTCAAATCGCCTAAGGAGCTTTTTTAAAAAATGCTAATGCCAGGGTTCCACCCCAGGCCAGTCAAATCCAAATCTTGGGTTAGGGTCCGTGCATAAGTATCAAAAAAAGAAGAAAAAAAATTTAATAAAAAAGCCTACCCAGATGATCGACATGATTATTCTAATGTGTAATAAGGAGTGAGGCTTGAGAGCCACTAGTCGAAGCCATGATGTGTAACTATACAGAGTGGGCAAAAGTAGGTTTACAGCTGTTCATAGGAAAAATAATATATTAATTAGTAAATAATAGTACAAGAATAAATGGTTTTGCATACTCACAGCTGTAAACCTACTTTTGCCCCACCCTGTATTTGTGGACTTCTAGCATTAGGGTCACAAGTGTTGCCTAGGACAGGGCTTCTCAGATCTTAATGTGTACATAAATCATCTGGGGAGTTTGTTAACCTGCAAATTCTGGTTCATGAGGGTGGGTGGGACCCAAGATTCCGCTTCTCTGGGAGCTCCCAGGTGATGATGATGGTGGTGGTGGTGCTGCTGGTGGTGGTTGGGGCACCTCCCTGAGTAGGGGGGGCCGCTGCAGTATTTTACATTCGACTATGTATAGGTAAGATAAAGTGTCTTTAAGTCTAGTTTCATTTTCAAACAACAAATTGAAAGTCAGAGTTTCTTTTAAATTTTACATATACCGAGATTTTCATATATGGAGTTTGCTTTTACTGAGGCACACCCGAATAAACTGTTGCTAAGAAACCTTACCTGTTAGTTACAACAGCCCTTATAGCCAAAGGCGGAAGGTCTTTGATCAGATCTGTTGGAAAATACAACCTCTTTTGGCTCCTGTTCGCAGTTGGGAAGAATATTGCTTTGTTTTTACTCCTTTGACCCCCATAGCAACATTGGCCGGAATTGTATTTGGCATTGCCAAGGCAAAGGCGCTGCTGCAGGCCACATACCTGAAGAATCTCTGAGACCAAGGCAGCTTGAAGGTTAAAGCACTAAGGCCTCTCTGGTGCTCTGGAGAAGGTGCTGACATTGACGTGGTCCTTGCATCTAGATTTAAAGAATCTTGGACATTGACCATGTCTCGCTTGGGGCAACATGTATCTCTCACAATAACCCATTCTTACTAATTTCTACACCCCCTGACTGTTACAATAACAGAATTACAAGTTTATCAACCATCTGTGTGCCAGACATTATGGTAGGTACTTATGATAGTATCTCATTTAATCCTCCTACCAATCCTATGAAGTCAGCTTTATTAGCACCTTTTTAGCAACGAGGAAACTGAGGCTCAGAAGTATTTTTTATAGAGCTCCAAAGTGGCACAAACGGGATTTAAATCCAGAGTCCTTTCCCTCTAGCACAATACTGCCAGTGACAATGAACTTCTATTGCACTGTGTAGATTTTAAAAATCTACATCTAAATGATTAGTTGTGCTTTAGAAGTTTTCTTTTAGATTTTGTCAGAGACAAGTAGTTAATACTTTATCATAACTTCATGAGGAAAATGATTGGCTGTTATTCTCATTTTGCTGAAAATAATGTTTGACTTTTAAAACTTCCGCCTTGCCTTCAGGCAAAGTTGAACTGGTGTGGGTTTAGGGCATGTTACAAATGCCTGGGCCAGCTTTGGGAATGATTTTACTTTGTCATTGGAGCTGTAGGCTGGGTTTAGAAAGGTCTAGGGTGAGTTTCTGTGGCATAGATATTGTGTCACTTGTGCACTTTCTGGTCTCAAATGAAATGAATTATCTGTATATATTTTATTCAAAAAAATATCAACAGCTCTTGATTAATAAATGAGGGTTTTCTTTAAGCTTTTAATTTTGAAATAATTATAGACACACAGGAAGTTGCAAAGATATTCAGAGGTTCAGAGAGGTCCCATGTGCTCTTCACCCAGTTATCCCAGTGGTTATATCTGGCATAAGCAGTGCATATGAAAACTACAAATTCACATTGGTACAATGTGAATTCCGTGCCACTTTATCACACTTATGGGTCCTGTAACCTTCGTCTCGATTAATATGTAGACTATCCTTCCACCACAGAGATCTCCCTCATAGCCACCATCCCTAACCCTAGCAACCACTGTGCCAACAGAAGTGTCTATTTGAAGTAGAATATGTGTGAACAGTCTGATCTCTCTCAGTTTGATGCTGAGTCTGCTTATATCAGTAATGATCAATACACAAGTTTTAAATGCTGATTGTAGTTTCCATGACCTACCTCCCAGTTATTCATGCTAGATTTTATGTCTTCTATCTATGGGTCTTTAGAGAAAGCCTTGTGGAAAACAGATCGTTTGATGTCTTTAAAAAGTCCAAACCTGTCAATTACTCGTAAGTCATTTATTTACTTTAGTAATTTTGGAAATGTATCAAACTGTAAATGCAAAGTGGCATCATCAATATGTGACAGTTTTGTCGGTATAGGAAAGCTCCTTGGGAAGTAGCTCAGGATGCACTTAGTGAGGTTGGTGAGCTCCTTTATTTTATTTTATTTTTTAAAAAATATGTTTTATTGATTTTTTTTTTTACAGAGAGGAAGGAAGAGGGATAGAGAGTTAGAAACATCAATGAGAGAGAAACATCATCAGCTGCCTCCTGCACACTCCCTGCCAGGGATGTGCCCGCAACCCAGGTACATGCCCTTGACCGGAATCGAACCTGGGACCCTTCAGTCTGCAGGTTGACGCTCTATCCATTGAGCCAAACCGGTTAGGGCAGAGCCTTTAAATTGCATGAAAATGTGTGTGGGTATGTGTGCATGTATGTATATAAAGTTCGGTGCTTTTATCAGATTTTCAAAGGAGTCCTTGATCCGAAAAAGAGCTTTAAAGTCCAGGACTATGCATAAAATCTCTTCCTAGTTAAAATAAAAAAATCACTTCAAATGAAAATTTTCTTTGTTAGAGTAATACGAGTGAACCTTGTATTATGTAGTCAA